CAGGGCTTGTCCCAGTTTTCGGACAATCTTACCAACTTTCACTGCCCGAGTTACTGTTCCCTAGTCTTCTGACTTTGACATTCATTCGCTCATACCTTAGTTGCTTTTCTTGAGTGTGTGTGTGTGTATGTTTACTTCGCTTATCACATGTCTAGCTTATTTTGTCTGACTGTAAGTACTCAGTCATTCATGCTTCATCGCATTCCAGTTGACTCATTCGTCTTCTCCACTTCGCTTTGTTTTGCTCGTACGCTTTACGTTCTCATGTCCCTTTGCATGAACGATTGCTTTAAATAAACTCATCCAACCGTTATCTCATAAGTCGCGTTCGCCTAAGTACGATATACTGAAACTGAAGTGAAAAATCATTTCATTGAACATTTAATTGTTCGTAAATAACTGGAATCAGATCGTGGGCCACTCAAGTGGTGAGTCCTGCTTCGGATTTTATTCAGCCTCTAAAAATTATTACTACATCTAATAATCAAATAGATTGAGTGTAACAGTTATTCAATCACGTTTTATAAATTTGAATTTTGACTGTTTCAGGATTACTTATCACGTAAATAGATTTCATTCTTAAATTTAAACCTGATGTATTAGTGTTATGATGATTAACACTTCTCGATCATTTTAATAACCTGGAAGTCAAGCTACTCAATACAATCAAAATATTTACTAGAATCATAGCGTATCCACGCTAATGAATCCCACACTGTGAGCCTGGCAGTAAACTAGAGTTTTAAACCGTACTGGTACAGAATATGAAAATATTATAGCGGTGACCTTGAAAAATCAGTTCTCGGGAGAAGCTTTCATTTGTGTTTTTCTTTTTGGTGTCCTTGTATTCAGAATGTATATAAGAAAGGAATGTTATGAAAAACCTTTTCCGCTTAAAATTGCCAAAGTTAAACAATCATTTCTATCTATTTTTAGCGTTTCAGTGGGTTCGTTAACCGAAAATCCTTCTCGAGGATTTTGGTACACGTGACATGTTTATCACAAATAATGATATTTACATCACTCATCGTCAAGCTTAAGCGTGATCTAGTTAATTTTTCACTGTTTATCTTTCTCTTCTTTCATCTGTCTAAGGATTGTTATGAAATATTGGGATAAATAAATAGAGACAATCACATTAGTGTCTATTTTTTGTGATATATATATATATATATATCTCAGACTATTGCAATCGTTAACTTGAGAACTTATTCAAATCATTCATAAATGCGACAATAAATAGGTGTTTTTAGAAAAAAATGTAGAAATTCTTAAGTATCCATTGATAATATGATTGTCATGAACAGATGAAACAACCAGTTTGTGTAAATAAAGACAAAACAAATAGAAACATTGATTGATGATAATTCATAATCAGTCTAAAATAGTCTAGTTGATAGTTAGTTATATGCAATCAACAATGAGTCTGAAATGAATGTAGATTTCATACAGAGAAAAATCAACCAATACGGAAGCTCGTTTAATATTCTAGAAAACATAAGTAAAATTGTTCCTTCGTTACGAATCTTTTGGATGTTATTTAGCATCAAAAGTGATAAATAAATTTTAGAACATTTCATAAATATACAGCGTTTAGTAATCACTTGTGTCTCTAACATTATTAATCCAAGGTTTCTTATGATCTAGTCAACCACTAGCAAAAAGTTAAGGGGTGACAGTAAGCAAATTTATCTGCTAGTGCTTTTCACTTGGAATTTAGTTTGTGAGCGGCTCAGTACAATATGGGAAAAATGGTGACTATAATGTCAAACATTAATAACTCTATCACTGACTTCTTTATTTCAATATGTACTTGTTCATACTATGAACTGTCATTGAATTGAGAAATTCGTAAATTTCATCCAAGAATTACTTACTGACTTCCCACTTGATCCATTCCTCACGTTAAGTATCCTCATAACTTGGAAAATTTAATAAACATAGTGCTAATATACATCAGTTTTATTTTTATTATACTTGAAAATTGTCTTCCATATCTTATGAATAATTCATCGATATTATACTGTTGTATGACATATTTTGAATAGAATGCAGCCAATATTTAGTGACATGATTCACAATATGTTTTGAGATCAATTATTTTGAGAAGATCCTAATAAGCAGTTTTTCATGACTTGAATTAATGCTATTTTCTAGATGTGCAGGTGATTATTGTTTTGAATTGATAAAATCAAGAAATAGTTTATAAGAATCAAAAAATCATTTTGTTGTTTTTGGAGTTAAAAGTCATTCGGAGTATTAAATCAATTATGAAAATAGTCAAACTGGTCTAACTTATTAGATCGACTCCTTGAAAAAGAATTGACAAACGTGTTTCAAGGATCATCGGTGCGTAAGTGTTCAGTGAGATTTACTCAAAATGTTTGTTATTTTCGCTAATAAGAACAGTAAAAATACTGGATTTGAACAAGAGGTATTTGGTTTTTTATTACTTAAAGCAATAATTTCGGTTACCAACAAATTATTCAGTAAACCCTTGAATAATTGTCTTTTGGAAATTTACCGAAGGATATTCAATTGATCAAAGCCATCTATCGGTAAATTCGGATTGTATCGTTTAAATTACGTAGAAGGATGTCATTTTTTTTTACAGTAAATAAATCTTGTTTTAACATTCTACAATTCAGGATGACAGTTAAAACTAAAAAAACGTTTTCGAGAAGTTTATTTCGTTACAAAAATTATTTTGTCATTAACTGTCAAATTATATATATAAACTGGAAATGGTCTGTTTTATTGTTGAGACAGAAGATAACATTTGAGTGCTTAGTTCTGTGGTACATTTCAGCATGAAGCTGCATTTGAATTCCTGAAAATTTAATACTTTGAACATGATTTCATTTCGGAGAATAGCTGCCATCATGATATTTTTAATAAGTCTACTACTAGAACGACAATTATACAGCACAAAGTTAGGCACTAAGACTAGTAGAACCGTTCTCCTCTTAGGTTGCAAATCAAAAGCCGCAAGAAAACAGAAGAATCCTTTATTCTATGATTTTTCCGAAGATAGACGGAAGGTTAATCTCTTATACCGGGACAGTGTTCATGTCAAGTTATGGTTACAATCTTCTACTACTGGAATCTACAAACAAGCTTCTGATAGGTCTGACTTCGCGACGTACTTCCAACCATTCCGCTTGAAAATAGGTCTTCCGGTGAAGGTAGTAAATACTGGTGAGCTCCTAGTGAGTTCTTTAGTCCTGTTGAATAATCTGCACATAGATGGACGCTCTCATTAGGCAATTTTACTATTACAATTAGCGCTGCCCATTAACAAAAATTTGCCGGCTTGACAACTCCACTTTTCTGGCAAATGTCCGAGACTGATACTTCCACGGTAAAAAACAACACCTGGTCGCTATCCATCTTTGCAGTAATTGAACAGAAAAATGCCGGTTCATGAAAAAAAGATAGCTCGGAAAACCAGCCTTCATCTCCGTACTGGCTATAGAGTGGATGACATTACAAGAAATTCTATTCGTACAAACACTAAATGCCATAGTAAGAGACATAAAGAAACCCCCAGCATAGGAAGATTACATCGGCATCACCCAGCGAACATATATTCTAAGAAATATCAGTCTGGCACTTCCACTAACAAAATATTAGTAGTTCAAAATGGCAGAAAAATAACCCATCGTAGAAAATTTTTTAACGATAGACTTTAATGAGCACCGTATTCGCTTTCAGCTTGATACAGCATTTAGCATTAATCTTATCAGACTAAAAAACTTAGAAAAATATTAGGAAACTCTTAATTCTCCCAATGGCACAACTGGCTCACAATACTTCTGATGTTAAGTTAAATATCATGGGAGAAGTATCCTGCACTGTAATCGAAGGTAATGCAACGAATGAGATAGTATATCTTACAGAGAATCTAGCACTTGATTTATTCGGATTAGACCATATAGAGATACTATAACTGGTAAAGCATTCAGTTAATGATATTTTCAGTTGACTTAAAAAACTAGCAGTTGTTTTTAATTTTTTTTTCATCTATTTTAAATGTACTATAGTTACAAGATAAAGTTTTTGTCTCCGTATAACTTATTAACTTATTAATTTGTATTTCATCAACATAATAATGACAAAAGTGTTAAACACACAGATACAAACATTTTATTTTCCACATTATTCATGAGAAGACTGACATATGAGGATCTGGTATTTTTAAATCGTAACTATTTATTGTAAACTATGCAATTTGATATATAGCATTGATAATAACAGTGGTCACCAGTGCACACTAGTGACTAGCTTCGTGAAGAAATTCTCGGAGTTTTAGTTGAGAAGACGTGACCAATGAAGTTCAACCCTGTCGGGTGTAGGCAGTAACTATCAAAGACAAAATGGGTGAGGTCGCGCAAAATCCATAGATCAATCAGAGTTAGACATTAATACTGTTGGATGCCGGCCCAGTGGTCCGATGGTTAGGCGTTCTCGCACAATACCGAAGGTCCCGGGTTCGAATCATGCGAGGTGTAGGAGCCGTGGATGCGTACTGCTGATGAGTCCCATACCAGGACGAAACGGCCGTCCAGTGCTTCCAGGTTTCTAATGTTGGTCTAACAATGATTGATTGATGATTTCAAATGTGTAAAATTCAAAATATACTCAAATATTTTGATACATATCTATTTCTTTCTTACAATCTGGACCAAATTATTTCAGATCCTTTCGATACCAATTTTTCCCATATACATTTTTATGTTTTATTTGAATTCCACCATTAGACGAATGTGATTACTAATTTTTTTTCTAATTGAATAAAAAATGTTAACGTTAAATAGAATGAATACATTGTCATTATTGGTTGACAGTGAGTTTAGAAAAAACAACAACAACAACATACGCCTACCTAATGTTATACAATAACACCCACTACTATGTTTCATTGGTTCATTGAAATTAGTAGTATGTTTTATATATATAGATATATATATATATAAATCAACTAAGAGTTGTAATCAAAGAAAAGAAATAAGAAGTTATGCATTAGAGGTGAACTCGAATTTTGAGATTACTTTTTTTTTGTTTAAGTAGTTTTCTTTTTGTACTCATGTACAGGAAATATGATTTAGTTATCATACCATTATAATCATCTGATCTCTGTGATTGTTGATGTAATAACATTTTGCGAAATCTGTCAACCAATACAACGAAATAATCATGATTTTTATATAACCACAAAAATTTTGATACAAAGACTAATGGTAGTAGTAGTAGTAGTACTGTCATCAATATGAATATCATTAACAACACTAGCAACTGGACAATATTTTCCAATTACACAGTGATAGATGATTACAGTTTATGGAAAACTATACTACTTGGAATTTTGTTAATTATTGCAGTCTTATTAACTGTCACTGGAAATTTGTTAGTATTTCTAGCTTTTCTACGTGAAAGATATATGCGAAAAAATTTAACCAATTGGTTTTTGGTTTCATTAGCTATAGCAGATTTATTAGTTGGAACTATAGTGATGCCATTTGCTATTTATCATACATTATATAATGCATATTGGCCATTTGGACGTGATTGGTGTGATGTATGGCATGCATTTGATGTGTTAAGTTCCACAGCATCAATATTAAATCTTTGTGCAATAGCATTGGAACGATTCTGGGCAACGGAAAATCCTATTACGCATACATCAATGCGTACACGTCGGCATTGTTTATTAATGCTTGCATTTGTATGGATCTGTTCAATACTGATATCATTTCCAGCAATTTTATGGTGGAGAAATACACAAGATTATACAATTAACTCCGCAGAAATATGCCAATTTACATCGGATAGTATTTATTTATTTGTTTCATCTTGTGTATCATTTTATATACCATTAATAGTGATGTTAGTTGTGTATACACGTATTTATCGAACTGCTAATAATTTAATGAAAAGTTTTAAAACTGGTGAAAAAATTGTTGTTTATTCAAATATTAAACAATTATCACCACCAAGTTTAAATTTCCAAGTAACCACCAATCCATTAAATGAACGTAAACACAAGCATTGGCTCAAACAATGTCATCCTACGGTAAAATCACAAGATTTCATACCACCACAATTGTCAATGTCACAAGGAGATAAAATGATACTACGTGTTCATCGTGGTGGAAATAGTGCGGATAAATATGCTACCAGAAGTAATAATACATTTAAATCAAACAAATTTAAAACAATACCTAAACCTAATCGTTTATCTTCTAATAATTTTGACAAAAGTATGATGATAAAACGAAAAAAATTCAATGATTTAACAAAACTTACAAATTCATTTTGTTTAAATAAACACTACATCACTACATTGTCAAATGTCAATCAAAGCATTACACCACTGAATCAATTCAATAGTGACCAATTAAAATCTAATAGAAATCATTGGAATCATACAAATTCTTTAATGCAAATACCAATTCATTCACAAATTATTACAGACAATAATAATAATAATAATATTAATAGTAGTAGTAATAATAATAAGTCGTTACATGGTCAAATTGATTTTAAACGTTCACATTCATTCAGTATCTTAAGTTATCTATCATCTCATTCACAACATAGTCAAAAATGTAAAAAATCACTGTGTTTGCAATCACAAATTGTACCAATTAAACCATCATCCATCAAAATGCGAAATTCACAAACTTCGCACCCTAAACAATGGAATAGTTTAACATGGAGATGCGAACAAAATCAGCTCACTGGTTACCAATTTAATAATAATGATAAAGATAAAAAGTATTCAAAATATCATTTTGCTGTATCAAATGAAAAATGCAAACAATCAATTGCCAGGCTAAGTATGAATCAACAAAATATTAACAACAACAATAACAGTGTATGCATGAATAATTCTACAATAAATATCACTTCAACAACCAGTAATATCACTATGAATTCGAATTCAATTAATAATACAACTCAAATGGAAGGTAATTCATTGCCTAAAACAAAATGTTGGATAAATCAATTAAGAGAGTTTGCTAGAAAGAAATGTGTTTGTAAATTTGCACGTGAACAGAAAGCAGCTAAAACATTAGGCATTATCATGGGATTATTTATATTATGTTGGTTACCATTTTTTGTTTGTAACATTTTAATTGCTTGCGATCCATATGCATTGAATAAAAATGATCTATTTAAACAAGCTCATCATTTGGTTACATGGTTAGGTTATATAAATTCATGCATTAATCCTATTATTTATGCACATTCAATGCATGAATTTCGTAGAGCATTTAAACGATTACTTTGTTTTCATTGGTGGTATCGTAAACAAATTCAATTGAGAAAATCAACTTCTTTTACTAGTCATTGTTTATCACATCGTTTAACTTCTCATCATCATCAGCATCCTCATCATCATCATCACCGCCATCATCATCATCATCGTCGTCATCATCATCATCATCGTCATCATCAAGATGATGATCGTTTTCATCGACACGGTCCTTATCAGTCTGGTGATTATTTATGTACAGATAAATTTGATACTCTTTATAAAACGAATCAACCAACATCGAAATATCATCCTAGTGTTACAGATTATCAGTCAACTAATAGTCGTTTAGTAAATCGAGAACTTGAGAATAGTTATTTATCATATAGTATAATTGTACCAAATTTAAGTGATCCCATTTGTTTTAAAAATCAGTAGACATGATGAAAAGAAATTCAAAAATTTGGCGGGATTTATATTATCAATCCTTTGGACATAACCGAAAAACGATTATTATTATTATGATTATTATTATGGTATAAAGTCGGTGTCTTTCGACAAACGTTTTGCTTTTTATTTTATATGGAAAGATTATACTGATTTCTTTAAATATGCTTATCAAAGACATAATGAATTATATATTCGATCTAAACTGATACACTCAAAAAGTGAGTATGTAAATAAAATTGTTCAAGTGTAAAGCAGTATGTACTTTTCTTTGTGTTTTTATCTTCAATTCCATTCAATATATACCTTGTGATGATAAGAACGGCTATTAGTTAGCTACTACTACTACTACTACTACTAAATAATATTTGGAATGAGTTGATTTTTAAAGATTCATTTTACTTGTCTATTGAATTACTCAAATTACACTAAGATAGTTGTAAATGATATATATATATATATATATATATATATATATATATATATATATATATATATATATATATATATGACAGTGTTTCATCATTGTTTACACAAATTTGAAATAAATCAGCCACATGCTATGGTTTATTGCATAAATCTAAAAATAAAATTTGATTTTTCAAACTAACAAATGAAAGTTTGCTTGCAGAAAGTTTGATTACATTACATTATTTAAAGTTACTTCATAAATTTAACATTTTTTTGAATGATTTTAAGTTTAACCCAGAAAAGGTGTCAATGATTATTATTTTTTAACAGGTTGACTGCGATATTTCAACATTTTTGAGGTACACACTTTTTACCCCTACCGCGTCCGTCATTAAATGTTGATTTGATCAGAAATGATACATAAATAGCATTTTGTTTAACTTGAATTAATCGTCAGCAAAATAAAATAAATCATATTTCAAGCAGTTTTTTCTTTACAACAAACTTATCTCAATATTTTGGTTTTGTTTTTTCTAAGCCATTGGAAAATCTCTCAACAAACTAGAATTGACAAATTGAAATAAAATTGAAAATAATATTGACTATTATTGTTATGGCATATATGCACAGTGAATTTATCTTAAATATAGTGAAATAAACTGAAATAATAAACTGCGCTTAAATGTGACTAAAAACCATAAAATTAAATTAGTCCTAATATTTCTTCCTGTAAATTATCCAAACTCAATTGTAACTTTTGCTGAACTGCTATAAATGCAAAGTTAATGTCAGTAGTGTTTAGCTAGTTTGAGCTGAATAATTGATTTTATTTTCTCAATATACTATATGCTATTTTTGAAAAATACTAGTCCTTCATGTTTTTGAAAATCTTTTTGTTGAAAACATCATTAAAATGTTGTTTTATTACTACCCACCAAGTATCTAGTGTGTATGGCTTGCTCTTGGCGCAGCTCAGTAATGCGGGCAGCCTTGTAAGCTAACTTGGACAATCGGTAAGGATCGGAGTAATCACCCACTACAATGCCGTATTTGCTTCTGAGAGTCCTCAAGGCTAGCAAACTAAAATCGCTGGGACTTCCAGATGTGTTTGTTGCGTATACGAATTGTATGGGCTTCGGGTTGTATAATCTGTGTGTGGTAGGAAAATGTAAAAGTTATGATTGTGGGCTCCCAGAAAAGATCGTTGGCTTGAAAGTTCGCCCTATAAATAAATAATCTGTATATAATTAATTGCTTAGCCAAAAGCTTACATACTTACTTACTTACTTACTTACGCCTGTTACCCCAAATGGAGCATAGGCCGCTCACCAGTTTTCTCCAACCAACTCTGTCCTGGGCTTCTTCCTCCAGTTCCGTCCAATGTTTGTTCATTCGTCTCATATCTTTCTCTATTTCACGGCGTAATGTATTCTTTGGCCTTCCTCTTTTCCTTTTGCCTTGAGGGTTCCATGTGAGGGCTTGTCTCGTGACGCAGTTAGGTGCTTTCCGCAATGTGTGTCCTATCCACTTCCACCGCTTCTTCCTGATTTCCTCTTCCACTGGAATATGGTTTGTTCTCTCCCACAGTTCGTTGTTGCTGATGGTGTCTGGCCAACGAATACGAAGTATTTTACGTAGACAGCTGTTAATAAACACTTGTATCTTCTGGATGATGGCTTTGGTAGTTCTCCATGTTTCCGCTCCATACATTAGAACTGTCTTGACATTTGTATTGAAAATCCTTATTTTGGTGTTGATTGATATCTGTTTGGAGTTCCAGATATTTTTCAACTGTAGAAATGCAGCCCTTGCTTTGCCAATCCGTGCCCTCACATCTGCATCGGATCCACCTTGGTTGTCGATGATGCTGCCCAGATATGTAAAGGTGTTAATGTCCTCCAAGGCATCTCCATCAAGAGTGATTTGATTGGTGCATGTTGTGTTGCATCGGAGAATTTTGCTCTTTCCTTTATGTATGTTGAGACCTACTGCTGCAGAGGCTGCTGCTACACTGGTCGTCTTCTCTTGCATTTGTTGTTGCGTGTGCGATAGAAGAGCCAGATCATCTGCGAAGTCCAGATCGTCCACAAAAGCTTACATACCATTTATGTACATGAAATGCATGAGAGGCAGTCTGTTATAGCAAATACATTCATGGAAGTGGTGACCATCTACCCTCCCAAAGTGGAGATTCCCCTCACGGTATACCAAGGAATACCAAGGAACAGCTAGTATGATTTTGTTGTACATGTAAGGTATAACTGACCTCCAGAATAAGTATGCCTATATGTATGTCATGAGATATATGTGGTAAAAACTCATGTGTTTCTGATATACATGTAACGTACACTGATTCCTGGTCCGTTACACGTGTGCCAAGATCTCTGAAGTAACAGTTCACCCCGAAACACATCCACACAATGAGTTTGTATGCCTTGAAATGCGACATCTATTCTAGAAGAGCAAGCAGGTATCCTAAAATAAGGCTTTACTAACCTCTATGGCTAAAATATCATTTAGGTTAGATCGAAACGCTATAAGAGCCTTCGAATTCATGGTGGTTGTCAGACATCAAAACAGGATATTCCTGTATGGTGTAAAATAAACTAACCAATTTCTGTTTCTCACTTCAACATTAATTACAATAACTGTTTCAGGAGATAAGATTAACATCGTTTTGACAAAATCCAAAAAAGATTAACGTTATATTAATTAATGCCATCATGAAAACATAATTTAAAAAATAGGAATTGTGTATCTTCAAAATCATCGTATAATCCAAACCTTGGTTAGAATTTCCGCCCTTTTAAAAAAAGACTTTCACACAAACAAACACATGTCAAGAAGACAAAACAGTTTTCAGTTTCTTTATTCATAAATGAAAATAAATAGCAACTATACGTATGTACTTCTTAAGCATGGCATTTTCTATATGACATGATTGTAAAAAAAGTAATTTATAATTGAACATTTACACGAACAGGTTTCACACACACACACTCGAGTAACAATGTTTATTTTCTTTTTGAAGATACATTGAACATTTAATCAATCATGTTATATTAATCCATTCAGTGTTGCATAAATATTTGTATCACAAGTCATATGAAGAATCCGTTCAGTTATAGCCCACTGATCTTCTTACTATTGAACACAACATTTAATTTTATGACACTTTAGAATGTTCAATGGCCAAACGGTAAACAAATAAATATAACGATAATATATGTATATCATGTTTTATTAAAAGGATTAGTGAAATATCAGTACTATCCCAATTTACTTTGACTTTTTTTTCTTATTTTTAATCTAATTTTTCAATAGTATACGACTTAACAAAACTACAGTCAAGTTTATCAATAATGTGACAAATCAAACTTCTTCTAATAAGTGGTTACTTAAACTCCATAGTTCAGTGGATTACACGTTAGGGCTATCGAAATAAACTGAGTTTGAGTTCCTGTGTGAATATAAACACTGAGAAACAGGTACATCTAGTGGACAAGTAACATATTGAGAGATTCCACTTCTAGCTATAATGACCCACGATGAAAAAATTCACTCAAGATATACCTATGGTAACAAGGACTGATCAAAATATTATTATTAACAACGTATGAATGTTCCTTTTAATAAAGATATGTGCATTTTTCATTTAAGAAACAAATAAATCCGAATAATTCAGTGAGATCAACTTATTAAAAAACATCCTTTTCTTACCAGTAAAAAAAGGGACTGAAATACTTATTCTCTGTACTGTTGCATAGACGGTAACTGAATGGAATACTTGCATTGATTAGAAACTTGGGTACATGAAAATTCATTCATGTCTTGTACATTCACAACAACTTACATTTATGCCAATTCCTAAAGTACTGGTTTGAATTTAATATCAATGGTGATTTGGTCAATCATTCTCTACTCTATGATCCAAAGTTACTCACTGCTGAAAAGATTTAGACTAAAGCATCAGTTTACAATTGAAATATTTTTTTCAAATCATACTAAATATTTCGTCATTTCATTTGACTATAATCCTAATCTTTCTTATTTGATTACAATGTCACATTTTTCATACTAATTCTAACGTTTTATCATCGAATTCCAATTTGTTGATCTCGTTGAACATGATGTTTAGCTAATCAAATTGAAAATTTATGTTATTTATTCACTAAAATGTTTCGGCGTTTTTTTTCAAACTTTATCAAATTTTTTTCTAATCCACTTTGATAATCATTTATTTTCGTAATTACTGTTAATGATATGCAATGAAATGCATACATTATTTATTTACAAAATCTCATACATACACAAAAATAAATATATACATTGATTTATAAATTTAAAACTAAACAGTATAGTAAATGAAAAAATATATACTAAGTTGTAAATAGATACCTGTCATGAATAACGAAGTAAAATCAAATGTTCATTCGGTTGTGTTTGTACGTACAAGTCAACAACGTTAGCCATACTTTAATTTAACTTTTTTTTTAACAGAGATAGTGTCTAATAAATATATTATATACATTAAGATGTGAATTACATATACGTTTTTAATATGTTAATAAAGGTATAATTGAACTGAATAAACGGCAGAATTTCAAGAACACTGAAAATCTATGTTTGCACTGTAGACCTACATCAAAATTAACAGTCAGCTTAACTGCCATTGGATTAAGTTAATTATCAGCCTTTTCAAACATTTAAGAAACACATTTTTTAAACTCTCGAAAATGAAAATATTTATTTTATGACTTATTTAAAGCAGCCAACTCCATACAGTATTTGCGCATCTATATGGTCTTATAAAAATTTCACAATTTATTGTGAAAATAATCTCAGGAACCTCTTGTGGTTGTTGATATATTTTTCTCTTTCTAGGATTTTTGAAAAAAATACCAACTAATCGTTTTAAAATAAACATATCAA